TACACCGTATGGTGTGTGTAACGTAAGTGTGATTTATGTTCTCGGCCGAAAGGGGTGTGGCTATCTGGGGCGGGGCTTCCCATGAAGTTACCGTGTACGGGGGCAGATGGCGCTTCGTGCGAGAGTGCGAAAGATCGCTCCACTACACGCGTTTGTTTTGGGCTGAGTACCAAACTGCCCAATTCACCTTGGTGTGAGCCATGCGAACTCCTTCCGATCACAATGCTCAAAGCATTTCGATAGTAATGAAGTCTGTACGGCCCCTCAAGAAGGTTTGCTGATGTCTGCTATTCAGAGGAACATACCGTGATAGTAGTACAGTAATGTACAGTATAGATTGGTAGAGCGCTGTATAATATAGCATAGTATAGCCGAAAGGAATAGAACAGGATAAAGGGCACGCGCTGCCGTTTGGAAAAATCATTGCCATACACCCAGCTCAAATGTTCCACCAATACAATTCTCACCCCCCCCCCGCCATCCTTCCATATCCCCATCCTACGTAAGGTCTTATATTCTTAAGATTTCTTACTATTTTCTCGAAGTTTCTGTCAGAAGGCTCTCCAGTTCTCTCCAGTTCCCCCAAAAAAAGGTGAAGTGGAGCCGGGGAGGGAGTAGCGCACCTGGATCAGGAAAAACCGAAAAATGTCAGCAGACACATTTTTTTCAAAGGCAACTGCGTCCCCCCTCCCTCCAGCGACTATAGAAGACCCAACTCGCTAGGAATCCCCAAACGTGCCCTGATAGTATAGAATAGGTGGGAAGGGAGCATTCTGCACTTCCGCTGCCCCATTGTCGTGTTGGGCCAGCAAGTGGAGCTTTGTGAAATCCGCTAAAGCCATGAAGTGGTACCAGTCAACGATTGAAGGAGCTAGCTCTCAACTCTTGTAAAGATACCTGTCAGCCCCTGTGAATCAGTGAGTACGACAAAGGGGAACAACGAAAATGCAAAATGCCCCCTTGCTTGCCAAACTGCACCTAATTCATAGGCGTTTTTCCCCACTAGAAAAAATCGCGCTAAATGTGAATAAATCTGCTACTGAGTTTCATAACATTTGAAGAGATTCCCTTGCCCTATATAATGATCCTCTGAGTTTTTCTGAAATTTCTGTTTCCACTAATATTTAAGTGCTCAAATTGGAGTGTCAGGTCGACGAAATTGAGCATTTTCGACAGCCTCTCCTTTTTACCTCTAATTAAAAAGCTGAAACCGCACAGGCCCAGTTGCTCAGCATATGGCTGAGAAGAACTGCCCATTAGAAATGCTTACAGCGGTTCAGACGATTCAAGCATTTCAATTTCGACCTCACAGACAGGCACCGAACCTAACGCCCTATTGAGTCAACTAGAGCTTACTGAGGTATCTTATTCATGGAAATCATAGACAAAGATCGGTTGAGAGAATCGTCAGGGATCATGGAATGCTTTCCTATCATAACCAATCATCACCCTCAGTTGATGTTAGACGTTCAAAAGAGTGGGTAGCTTCTGCAGCCAGTCGCTCCTTAAGAGGGCATAGTGTCATGCTACAAATTTACAAGGTCCGACTTCCCATCTCCTAATCGCTTAGAACCAACTTCAAGCCTGCATGTAGGAATGAATTCTTTCCTTGATCAAGTAGCCAGAACACACTGGAAAAACGTCCATTTGCTAATGTTGTGAAATTTGTGCTAAGAAAAAGAAACATACGCCGCTACTCGTGAGCCACCCCAATTGTTTAATTTGATATAGTACAGTATACTACAGGACACTGTACTTTAGTGCTGTATAGTATAGTATTATGTGCTTAGAATATGGTAGTACCTAGTGAGTATAGGATCACATGTCATCGCTAGGCTGATGTACAGCTTTTAACATGATAGGGTTCTTTTTTATGCAAAGAAACGTTGCTTACTGGTGCTAGGCGGTCCGTTATCGACGGAATCTTCGGCTGTGCCTGAGTCACGACAAACACATGATGTCGAATATTTAAATACTTCTGCCAAACGAGGTTTTTAGATGACACCTTTATTGGCCTAACGTTTCGACCTTCTCGTCTTCTTCAGAGGCCTGAAAGTGGCTCGAAGCTTTTAATTTGTTACCTACCCGACCAAACGCCCTTCCCACTCTAGCGTTTCCGACCTCGTTTCCCGAACGCTTCCCAAAAACCCGGCAATGAATCCTAACAACTCACCGAGGTATCACCGTGCGGAGCACAGCTCACGCAGCAAGTTAGTAGGACCAGTAAGGACGAATGAGACTGACTTGGGTCTCACTGTGTCGCATAAGTCAAAATTGTCATAGCGCACGTAGTCCTTACTGTAGCTCGCACTCTGATACAAACGGCAGGAATTCATTTGTAATGGCCAGACACTCGTTTCGGTTGTTCATTTTTGGCCATTACAAATGAATTCCTGCCGTTTGTATCAGAGTGCGAGCTACAGTAAGGACTACGTGCGCTATGACAATTTTGACTTATGCGACACAGTGAGACCCAAGTCAGTCTCATTCGTCCTTACTGGTCCTACTAACTTGCTGCGTGAGCTGTGCTCCGCACGGTGATACCTCGGTGAGTTGTTAGGATTCATTGCCGGGTTTTTGGGAAGCATTCGGGAAACGAGGTCGGAAACGCTAGAGTGGGAAGGGCGTTTGGTCGGGTAGGTAACAAATTAAAAGCTTCGAGCCATTTTCAGGCCTCTGAAGAAGACGAGAAGGTCGAAACGTTAGGCCAATAAAGGTGTCATCTAAAAACCTCGTTTGGCAGAAGTATTTAAATATTCGACATCATGCCGAGGTTTCAAGAAGGGACAACGTGGAGATTACAAACACCTTGAATTTTTTTGCCCCTGCGCTATAGCCCTATTGCCATATCCCTTGTTCGTTGATCCGCGAGAATCTTCTCCAAATCCCCGATCTTCCCTCTGCCTGCATTTGCGGGTGAAAACCGAAAGTCCTTGATCATTCTGGTCCCACTTTGCGGCATCTTCGCCATCTCTTCAGGTTTTTGTGGAAGATTGAGATCCGCGATGAGAGAGGGAGGAGCGTATACGTGGTCATCGAGGACTGGATCCCACGACTGGTCAATTTTACACTGAAGCAGACTGCTCATTCACTCGGCCACTGTGACCAGTTGTCGTTTCTTCTCCAATCTGGCTATTGATCGATATTGGGTGTTCCTGAAGGATCGGGTGATTTCTTGGACAGCCTTGACCCGTCTCTGGTATTCCCGAGGTGTAACACCGCGGCAAACTTGCACGACGAGAATGTCCAAATTGCCGCAGCAGTCTGGGTCTCCCTTATTTCTTTCTTTTTTGAACAGTTTAGTTACTGGAAGTAAATGCTTTTAGTTGAGACATTCCTGAAAATTCGCACTTCGACATTTTTCGAAGTGTTGTAGTTTTTTTTGTCAGCTAGCATAAGAGGTTTTATTTGGCTGCTGTGACCTACTAGGATACCGTAACTTTACTGGGATACCGTACTTTGCGTAGATCAGAGGGCAGCTTCAGGGAAGTCTTCGGCTGCGAAAGAATTCTCAGTTCTTTCACTTTTCCCATGGACTAAGTACCCCAGTTCACCTTGATCTGCGCCTATTCCCATTCAAACCTGTCATTTCCAGTGGTCAAACTTGCTCCTCCAACCGTCTCTTCGCTTTTCTCTGACCCTACAATCATTTCTGGGTCAGTAGAGAGGTGGTTCATGGGTGAGCTGTGAAAAGCTCACCCATTTTCTTGGTCCTTTTTGGGTTATTGCAGTCCTGACTAGGCATCCAGTGCTTAGTCACTGGTCCAGGAAAGTACCACTGTGACCGTTTGAGTACTGTGAAGCCAATGGAGATGATCCGCTGTTAGTACTCATTTTCCTTATCTCCCATTTCTTATCGTCAATCTCATATGGGAGCAAAGACCACCGTAAAGGGGCGGTCGACCTTGTCAACGTCGTTGAGACAGCAAGAAAACTGTAATCCTTCCGGGGGAATACTAACCGATTCTCAGATTATATACCATTTCCTGCCGTTTGCCAGCACCTTCTGCTAGCTCTTCTCTAAAAACCTTGGAGTCTTTGCCAGTCCTTCTGCCCACAGAAATTTCTGTGGCCCTCTCCCTTCCAAATCTCCCATCGCACCTACCATCTTCCTGTGGAATTTCCTTCGATTTTCCACTTTTTCCCCAGAAAACTCGGGAGAAAACGTGAGGTGGGGGAGGAATGGTACCGAAAATATTGTCTGCCAGAAGCAAATGTGATCCTCCAGCGACATTCTCCGTCACCCTTCCCTATTGTGATTCAGTAGGAGGGCCTTTTGTCCTTAAATATTTCCTCCAACTGAAACGTCTTTCTTCAGATTTTTATGCTTTTCTTGGTTGTGCTGATAGCTGTTGGGTTAGCCAGTGCTGAGGAAGATCGGAAACTTTCCTGGAAGGTTGGTGAAGTGTTGCAAAAAATGATGATTGATGATTCCACCTAATGATGGGATCTGGTAAGCCTTCTTCACTCCATATAATTGTATATGTAGCGCTAAGAATGGCCTTTTGGTAGCTTATCTCTGAAGGTTAATGGATTCATTAAGTGAGTATGATTATTTGAATGCAGTAAAGTGGCTTCGTTTCAGGAGGATGACGGCCTGGAGATCAAGATTGTGAAGCCGATCAAGAAGGAGGAGTGCAAGGAAGTCTCAAAAGCGGGTGATGAAGTCCTGCAATTCTACCGACTGACCGACAAAGACGGCAAGGAAATTGGCAGTAACTTCGGCAAAGAGCCGTAAGTTTGAGGAGACTGAATCTCCTGAAAGGAAAGTAAAATCTTGAAGATGTTCATCGTTTCAGATACACCTTCGTTCTGGGTAAAGGGAGAGTGATCGCGGGAATGGATCGAGCAATGATTGGAATGTGCATAGGAGAGAAGAGAAAGATAGTCATCCCCGGAAAGCTCGGCTTTGGTGTCGGTGGAAGAGAAAGGTCAGTTGAACCTGTATGAAATACCGTCATCTCTAGAAAATTGCCGCAAATTCCTGTACTGAAGCACCTTCTGGCCAAGGGGCAATTGGATGCATCCCGTATCTGGTTCGTTACCATTGAAAAATGTCCTCGAAAGCGGCGCAAGATTAGACACAGAATTTCCAGTTCAGTCCATTCCGATGTGCGCCGGGTACTCCACTTTGAATTGAAATCGTGATTAGGGCACGTCCTGGGGCACAACTTCTGCAAAGTATGGTCCCCCTCAATTTCCCCCTCTGGCACGACCCCATTTCCCCTTCCTAACTACCTCTTCCTAAATTTTGCCGATCTACTCCAGTCTCATTTCAATTTCCCAAAAAAAACCACCGTCGAGAGCAGCAGAGGGATGCGAGATGGGAGTTGGGAGAAGTACCCCCAGCGACAAAATACGACGTCCGCTCAGTCACTGAGGATACCCAACGCACGCTCTCGTGAAAACGGTTTATCCCCGTATGTGCACCATGTGGATAACCAGTGATAAGGGTTCTTCTCCTTACGAGCTAATCTGTCTGCAGTCATCCATCCCAGCGGATGGATAGCCTGGCTCGATTTGATGGGTAAAGGTATGGTCATTCCCAAGCAGTGCGAGTGGCTCACGTCGCCACTTGGCCCTATATTAGCTTGTTCAGGAAAGTCACTCAAAAGCAGGATATTTCATGCAAATAGGCTTCATGGGTTATCGCTGTGCGTTTTCCTGGGGTTGAGAAATCTCCAGGTTCCATTTATCCCTCATGACAGGGCCCAAATATCTTCCGATGGCCTTTCTCGGGCCCTTTTTTTCCGGAAATATCCGGTCACCGGAGTCAGCGTCCCACCACAGGGCCATGGGGATATGCAGAATTGGTCGTTTAGCCTGGCATCCGCTAAAACGCCTCTAGTACAGCTTCACACCTTCATCTGAAAAATCTACTTCACCTAAGCCACCTCTCCCTTTACCGACAGTTCCCACAAGAGCGGGAGTCTGGGAAGGGACAATATACACTCATCCAAAAATGGTAGCAATCCATAATTTTTTCCAAATTTTCCAGGTCATTTCAGATTGAAGCGGGCCCCTCACGGTCATCCCAACACGGAACCTCTCCTGCTTCCGTGAAATAAAGTCTTCAGGTATATATGGACCCTTTGCCCAAACCCGCGCCAGCACGGAGTATCAAGAGATTTGTCAATCGGAATAGCCAAGTGCCGATTTGATCCGTAAAGGGCTTTAATGATTTGATGGCTAACGTTGACCTAGCTTAGTTTACCATTGACACCTATAGAAGTGACCCCATTCATTCCCCATTATTTCAATAGCACCTCAAGCCCTCCCCCCCCCTCCTGTTCATTCAGCGATTGTGTGTAATTGAGGGATATTGATCGACACCGCATTCCTTTAGAGATAACATCGCCAAGGACCAGATACTCTACTACACTGTGCAATTGGTCGACATCTTCAAACCGGTTCCTGGCAAGAAATGGACAACCGATGAGGGCATTACTATCGAGGTAATATTTTAATGATTGTTCAATGTTCAAAAACCGTTATGTTTCTTGAATTGGCCCTGGCGTTCCCGCTTGATGACGACCAGCGCCATCGAGCGATTTCTGAATGTTGAGGACTGAATCATGAATAACGCTATTGTAAGACTAGGCGTAGACCGGTTTGAAAGCGGTGGCCCGATGCGATGGTTGCTAGAGATTTCTAACGAAGGGCAGCATTCACAGAGCGTAGTGCCGGAGATATGGAGGCCAATCGAGCCAGTACTAGACAGTCCTGTAGTCCAGCAGACGGTCCTGTTAGAGAACAGATTGAGGCTTTACTACTGAAGCAACGTACCATTGGCAAGCTCAGCTAATAACAGCCCTTCAGTCCGTGGAAGACGGATGCTCCTGGTTGACATCTGTTAGCCCCAACGCTCTCTGTTGATTTACAGCGACCAGCCCTCACTGTCTAAACCAACTCCGTAGCGCCCAGATGTAGGATGGCGCAGTTCGGCTTAGTGGTGGTAAGAAACGGCCCTCATTAAAGCCTTTATAGGCCACCTTGTGGGAGGAATCTGGGAGCTCTTGTAACCATAGCTGCTCACTTTAACCATTGCGCAGCTTCACGAGAGCTTGCAGGTTCCACTGAATGAGATCTGTCACTTAACATGAACTTGCAAAAGGAAAGTTTAAGATGCCCATCCCAAGTCGCCAACATCACTGAGCGAACGCGAGAGCCGAAGAAGAAGTCTATATGAAGTGAGCGCTTCTGAGGCAGGGGACAGGACAGGACCAGGTTCTGACCCCCATACCTGCCACTAGCAGAAAGTCGATCTCTTTATAGGAACGGCTACTCATGAATGACCCGTTCGGAGGATTAGTGTACCCTGCGCAAACGGCTGGAAACGGGACCAAATGCTACGCAGCCCTATCAGGAGGTGCCTCCGGGACTACTGGGATTACTGGATGAAATCAGTCTAATCAGTCAACTGGAGTTTGAAAAAGCTTTGCTCGAGCCTGATTCCGAACCATTCCTCAATGAGACCCATATAGTATCTAACGCGGCGCGTTTCACGGGGGTTGGGGATGGTCAGGGCTTGGCGCGGCCCAGCTCTTTCTCCTGCAGTTGTTGAAAGATGAAAGCGATAACAATTGGTGGAAAACGTGCTGGCGCCGCATCGAACCCGGCCCCCTGTCGCGCCACAGCACCGTAACAAGCAAGATTTCCACCTGTGTATTCTGCTTCCCTGATACTTCTCTATGGTACTTGAAGCATCAATAAAGACCGTCCAATGGTCTAGGCCTCTACCCATCAGATTATCGTGAGCTCGTCCTCACAGTGCCCTCCTTCAAGCTTAAGCCGGGCTTCACATCCTCCAACACACTATCATTTCTTTGGCAGTAAGGGCCTCACGTGAACGGATCGAAGCGTTCAAGCCAAAGCTAATCCCAAAGCTAAGTGACCTTTTCATTCAGGTGACGCACAAGATTGACGAGGACAAATGCCGCAAGTCGGAAACCGGTGACACCATCCACCAACAGTACGAGCTCCACCTTGAGAACGGTACTTTCGTCGATTCGTCCTTCTCACGCAACAAGCCCTTCATCTTCCAGCTGAATCAAGGAGTAAGTCTCACTTATACCTGTAGAGTGCGATAATGTGGCTCGAATATAACCCTCGCCTTGATCTTCTTCTTCTTCAGAAAGTCATCAAGGGAATGGATATCGCCATGACGGACATGTGTGAAGGAGAACGTCGCCATGTTGTCATTCCATCCGATTACGGTAGACAAACAAGTTGTTCCTAATGGGAACTGGCTACTTAGTAATCGAATTTTCTCAGGTTATGGTGACGAAGGACGACTTCCCCAGATCCCCGGCAAAGCCAAACTCGTCTTTGATATCATTCTGGAGAAGCTGATCAAGAAGGATGAACTCTAAATTTTCACATAGTGCAAAACGGATCAAATCAGTGATCTCTGATTTGTTGCCTTCTTCGCCTTTGTGAACCGTTTTTTTTGTATCAAAAATTTATTTCGCGGTAA